TATGTTGGTCTTTTTAAATGACTTTCAAATACTGGGCAAGCCCCTTTAAATAGTTAACTTTTTAAAAATGAGCTGAAGAAAGAATTATACTTCTGCTTTCAGCCCAAATGGAGTTAACAGTGATTACATTTACCCCCATGCTGAAAAAAATAAATAAATAAAATTGACAAAATATATGAAACCTGGTTCTAAAGACACTGGCTATCAGTCAACAAAGGAGAGTGGTCCCTGAGAGAGAGGACACACATGAGGTAAGCCCCGTAACTGCCCCAACTTCCTGCCTGGAGAAAGTTTACAGGTCATGGTGCTGGGAAGGGGATCCCAAATGGAGCCCACTGGTGTCCCAGAGTTGAGGAGACAGAGCTGGAAGTCCAGGGAGTCCAAGGCAGCTAGAGTTCACAGGCCAGAAACCAGAGAGGAAAACCTCTCTTCTCCTGACAGAAAGCCAGGAGATGCTAAGGGGCCCCTCAAGTATTCAGCTGAGTACTGATCACAGGTATGTGAGGAAACTACTGAAGCAGAGGAGACACCCATAAAGATAACAGGAAACAAGCCAATGCTCACCCAGGCCCAGGAATAATGTCTGTCCCTCCTAGAAAGAGGGAAAACCTCACAATTCACTGGGAAGAGAAATCATAAAGTTTTCCCCTCACTGGTGGGACAAACTTAAGCATACACAAAGTGTTGCTCTGGTCCCACCTAACAAAACTGAAATGTAAGACCCGAAAGGATCAAATTATTTCCAAATAACTATTCCCTAGGACAAAGCTAAATAGTATTTATATAAATACAAAATTATCCAGCACCCAACAAGGTAAAATTTACAATGTCTGGCATCACATCTAATGAAAATCAAACATGCAAAAGTGAGAAAATATGACCCGTAATTAGGAGGGAAAAAAAAACCATTCCGCTGACACAAACCCCAAAAATATCAGATGACAGAATTAACAGACAAGGACAAAAGCAATGTCTGAGATTAAAAAGGACACTGTATGGGTTTAATGGCAAATGAGACATTGCAGAAGAAGTGTACTGAGCTGGAAGACACAGCAACAGCAACTATCCAGAGTGAAATACAGCAAGGAACAAGACTGCAAAATAAAATGAACACAGTATGAGTGAACTGCGGGAACACTTCAGGTGTCTTAATATATGTGTATTTGGAGTCCCCAGAGGAGAAGAGACAGAAATATATTTTAATGATAATGGCTGAAAAGTTTCCAAATTTGATGAATAATCCACAGATCCAGACACAAGAAATATGAAGAAAATTATATAAAGACATATCATAATCAAGTTGCTTAAAAACAAAGAGAAAGGGCACCTGGGTGTCTCAGTCAGTTCAGCCATTAACTCTTGGTTTCAGCTCAGGTCATGGTCTTGGGGTTGTGGGATCAAGGCCTGCATCAGGCTCTGCGCCCAGTGCAGAGTCTCCTTGAGATTCTCTCTCCCCCCTCTCCCTGTGCCCCTTTACCATGCCCCAGCTCAACTTGTTCTCTCTCTGAAATAAATGGATAAAATCTTTAAGGAAAAAAAAATGTATATATTAAAAGCAGCCAGAGAAAAACAAAGGACACACTGTGTAGAGACCAAATATAAGCATGATAGCACATCTCACATCAGTACCAACATAAACCAAAAGACAGTGGAATAACATCTTCAGACTATCAACAGAAGGGGGAAAAAAAAAGTGAAAATATTTTTCAAAAATGAAAGCAAAATAAAAAATATTTTATTATTTTATTTTTTTAAAGATTTTATTTATTTATTTGAGAGACAGAGAGAATGAGAAAGAAAGCACATGAGACAGGGGGAGGGTCAGAGGGAGAAGCAGACTCCCTGGTGAGCAGGGAGCCCGATGCGGGACTCGATCCCGGGACTCCAGGATCATGACCTGAGCCAAAGGCAGTCGCTTAACCAACTGAGCCACTCAGGCGCCCAAAAATATTTTAGATATACAAAAGCTGACTGACTTAACAGATTTACACTGTAAGAAACATTAAAGGAAGCCTTTCAAGAAGAAAAACAGATGAAAACCTGAATCCATAAACAAAAGAATGAGGAGCACAGAAAATGGTAACTATGTTAATAAATGTAAAGACTGTTAAATCTCCCTAAAGGAGCATCAGCTCTTGAAAGCGACAATAATATCAATGTACTGCTGGGTTTAAGACCTATAAAAGTAAAATCTATGACAACAACTGCACAAAGGCTGGGAGCGAAGAAGTGGGAGAACCCAGGTAAAAGGTGCTTATCTATGTGTAAAAGTGGTATAAGAGCACTTAAGGGTAGACTGCCATCAATAGAAATGTATACCACAGATTTTCTCAGCAACTACAACCAAAACCACAAAAACCAAAAACCAACAAAAATATTGCTAAAAAGCCAAGAAAGGAAATTTAGAAATTCAAAAATTTTTAAAAACTCAAAAGAAGAGAGAAAAAGAACAAAGAATAGACAGGACAAAAGGCAAAGAGCAAGATGGCGGATTTAAACCTAATCATGTCAATACAAGAATCACATAAAATGTAAATGGTCTAAACAATAAAAGGCAGAAATAGGATTTTTTTTTTTTTAAAGATTTGAGCACGTGAGAAAGCATGAGCAGGGGAGGGGAACGGGCAGAGGGAGAGGGAGAAGCAGATTCCCCACTGAGCAGGGAGCCCGACGCAGGACTCGATCCCGGGACCCTGGGATCATGACCTGAGCCGAAGGCAGACGCTTACCGACTGAGCCACCCACGAGCCCCAAAATAGGACTCTTTAGACCCAACTATTGCCCTATAAGAAAATCACTTTGAATATAAAAATACAAATAGCAAGTAAAAGCAAGGCAAAAGATACGCCCATGCTAAGACTAATCAAGAGAAAGCTGGGGTAGTTCTATTAATATCAGACAAAAATTTCAGAGTAAATAATATTACCAGGGATAAAGGACATTTCATAATGATAAAGAAATCAACTGACCAGAAGAACACAATAATCCTAAAGGTTTATGCTTTGAAATACTCACTGAAGCAAAAACTAATAAAATGCAAAGAAAAATGGACAAATACATGATTAGAGATTTCAATAGCCCTCTCTCAATAATAAATAGAAAGAACTGACAAGTATCAGTAAGGACACATAAGACCTGAATAATACTATTAACCAACTTGAGATAATTATTATCTGTGGAACTCTCCACCCAGTAACGGAATAGAGATTCTTTTCAAGTGCAGAACAATGACCAGGTCAGACTGTATTCTAGACCATAAAACAAATCTCAAGAAGTTTAGAATCCTATAAATCATGCAAAGTGTTTTCTTGGACCATAATGCAATTAAAAACTAACAAAAATAAAGATACCTAGAAATCTCAAATATTTGAAAACTATGTAACATACTTCTAAAAAACTCATGGGTCAAAGAGGTCAAAATTATAAAGAATTTTTAACTAAGTGAAAATGAAAACACAGCACATCCAAATCTGTGGAATGCACCAAAAGCAATGTTTAGAAATTTACCACTTTAAGCTTCAATATTAAGAAAGAAAAAAAAGTTTCAAATCAATGGTATCAACTTCTACATTACACACCTAGAAAAAGAAAATGAAACCCAACTACACAGCAAAGAAATAATCAGAAAAATTAATAAAGCAGAAAAATAGAGCAAACTGTTCAAACCAAAAGATGGTTCTTTGAGAAGATAAAGAAAACAGATAAACCTCTACCAAATGTATTCATTTGCTAGGGCAGCTGCGTAACAAAGCGCCACAACCTGGGTGGCTTCACAGCAGAAATTTAAGGTCTCACAGTCCGTGTCTAAGGGCCGTAGACAGCAGTCTTTTCCCTGTCAGTCTTCACACTGTTTACCTTCTCTGCTTGTTGGTCTGGAGCTTTCCCCTTTTTCTAAGGATACCGCTTATCTCAGATTAAATGACCTCCAATCCGGTATGACTCAGCTAATCATATCTGCAACAACCCTATTTTTCAAATAAGGTCACATCCTGAGGTAGTGGGGGTTAGGACTCAATGGATAAATGGATAACCTCAACAGGCCTATATCCAAATAAGACATTAAATTTGTAGTTAAATCTCTTCTCACAAAGAAAATTCTCCTAGGGAACTTTCACAGGGAAATTAAACCAAACATTTAAAGAAGAAATAAGACCAATTCTACACAATCTGTCCCAGACAACTGAAGTGGAGGGAATGGTCCCCAACTCTGCCTACAAGGCCAGCATTAGTCTCATACCAAACCAGAAAAAACATTTGAAGAAAGGAAAAATAGAACTTTTATGAATATGGCTGTAAAACTTTATAAAAACTTTTATAAATCAAATGCATTAATATATTAAAAAAGTTATGCATGATGACCAAGTGTGGTTTGTCCCAGAATTACAGGGTTGGGTTAATATTTGGGGGGTGGGGGTGAATCAGCGTGAATTCACCATTTAACAGACTGAAAAAACAAAAACCACATGATCATCTCAACAGATAAAGACAAAGCATTTACTAAACTCCATTCATCCCTGACAAAATCTAAGCAAATTAGGAAAAGAGAATACCATCAACCTGATAGAGGTGACAGGATGAGAGATGGAGAAGACTAGGTTTACCTGCTCTAAAATTCTATTTTTCTAACCAGGTTGGCCTACTAATAGAGGGTGGGGGTAACAAAGCATTTACTTTCTCAGATGTTCAACAAAATTATAAAAAATGGCTTTCAATATTTCCCCAAATACATCTTCTTACAAAATTAGGAGTGTCTTATACACATAAGCATTTGTATTCACAGTACTTCTGGAAATCCTAGTCATTTCCACACAGTTTAGCATTTGACCTACACACAGGACAATAATAACCACATATGACTACTTCATTTTCATATACAAGAATACTTACCTGGCTTAATCTATTTGTGGTTACCTCACTGGAGTTTTTGTTGTTAAAATCATGTTATAGATTTCAACAGTTTATAGGCACAATGCATTTCTTTAGAAATGCTATTTACTTACACTGACAGCATTAATATCTGACACATGTCCAGTGAAAGACTGTCTGCACATTCCATCTCGAATATCCCACAATTTTGAAGAGGCATCACAAGCACCAGAAACAAAAGTCCTCATGTCAGGACTCAGAGAAAGACTCATCACATCTCCAGAATGCCCAGTGAATGTGGTGGTCTGCTGGGCAGTTTCGATGTCCCACAAAGCGCTATGATTAAACATAAATTAAAATAATGACTCTTAGATCTTTCCTTATGTTAGTTCCCGCTACCACCCTCAACCCCCAAATCAGTGTTCTCCTGGGCCACACTTACCAAGTTGTGTCTCCTGAGCTTGTAACAATTTGGCTGTCATCTAAAAACCGACAGCAGGACAAGTAGCCTGCAGCAGAGAGAGCAATACATCTCAGGTTATCGCTGACGGAGTGACTCAGTTACCATGTGAAGTAGTAACACATTCTTTTTAAAACCCAATACGTGGGCAACAAATGTTTGTTAGTATAATCTATAGTTCTACTTTTAGTTACCTCAAGTTCCATGCTGTCTGCAACTCAATTTTATCAACAAACTCTCAAGTATTTACTATGTCGATGGCGCGCCTTGTTGGACACTCTGAAAATGACAAACTTAGGACACAGTCCCTTCTGCCTACTATGATTACCAAAGACAGAGAAATTCCTTTACACAAATCTCTATCATCTATGGAAGACTAAGTTAGGTACACTGGGAAATCCTTTAATATTACTGTGAGAAATTACGACAACCTCAGTGAAGGCTTCATGGAAAAGGGTCACCTGAATGAGAATTCACCAGTGTTTCCAAATATGGAATTGGCAGGAAAATGATATTAGAGATTTTTGTAAAAAGCATCATCAAATAGTACTACCAAGAATTCAGAGAGGCAGAAGCCTGATGAATGGCAATAAATTCCTTATTAATACTGCAAACCAAATGCTATAGTATGGTGTACACTCTATGGTGTGCATACTGGCAAATCAAGCAATGCACTACCACATCCATGAAGTATTTTTCACTGTGTATCTAATACACACTTTCAATTACATAACTAAGTACAGATGCCAAAATCCCTTAACTGTTATATGGTTGCAGAGAAAAGAGAAAATTCTATTTGCTCCCCCCCACTGTAGGCTCCCAACACAGGGCTTGAACTCACGACCCTGAGATCATGACCTGAGCCGAAATCAAGAGTCACTTAACTGACTGACCACCCAAGTGCCCCTGTATTTGCTTTTTCTTTTCTTTTACTGTTTGAATATTTTACAATCAATCTGTCATTTTTATAAAATTGACTGTTTTTGAAAGAAAAATAAAGTTACAGTCATCATTTGTAGAACTATAAACTCGGTCCTTTGCTGATTCATACTCCTTTCTCCTCTCACTTGATTAACACTCCATCTTCAGCAGCTGACCACAGTTTGTCACTAGTTCTCGTTGTTCGGCTCCCTTAGGAATCCTCATATTTGGTAGGAAAGGACACTATTTAGTGGAGCTCACCTGTGTGACCCGGTAACTCTCGGCTCACTCTCACGTTCCCCTCTCTGGTTTTTAAGTTATATATAGAGCAGATGTTGTCCAGCCCTCCACACGCGACATAATTACCAGAGGGAGCGTAGGCACAGGTCATCACCCAGGAAGACCTCAAAGGAATAGCATGCATCTGTACAACAAATGTAACACACAAAAGCTATTACTAAGATTACAAAAACAGTCCATTTTTGAAACCGATGTACAATGAAGCAAATATTACTAAAAATTAAATGCATCTAACTAAAAATAAGCCAAATTAAAAATGCAATGGTTTAAGAGAACAATGAAAAATAAAATACTAATACAGAAAAAGTAATAGGCATGTTAGCATTTATCACCAATTCATTCGGATTTAAGTGTTCTTTTTCAGAAATTATTTTAAGAGGATGTAGAATGTTTCAATGCTAATATACCCATTCAAAATATGAAGTGCAAAATGTTAAAGAACTGAATAAAATTCTTTGTTTTCACAGTAACAGTCAAAAGAGGAATTTCCTCCAATATAACACTGAACAATGCAAGTATCAGAGCCAATTAAAATGGTTCTTCCATAAAAATTAAAAAAATAAATGGTTCTCCCATAAGGGCGCCTGGGTGTCTCAGTCGGTTAAGCATCTGCCTTTGGCTCAGGTCATGATCCCAGGGTCCTGGGCTCGAGCCCCACATGGGGCTCCCTGCTCAGCGGGGAGTCTGCTTCTCCCTCTCCCCTCTGCCTCTCCCCCTGGCTTGTGCACTCTCTCTCTCTCTCTCAAATAAATAAATCTTAAAAGAGAGAGAGATGGCACTGTGTCCTAATAGTAGGATATATACTCTGCACCCAAATTTAAAAAATGTCAATTGTTTGCACTGATCTGCCCACACCACTCTGGTGCCTTATTACCCAATACCAATCATTTCAAGAAGGCGGCAAAATTTAAGGTATACGGGAATAAGCAAGGCTAAACGGTGATTACTATTATGCTCTCACTTAAACCTAAAATATTTTAAAAACTATTTTTGTTCTAGGAAAATATAGTTGAAAGACATGCTGGGTGGGCCAATTAATATAGAAAAACTGTTATAAATCTGTCTTAGTTAGCTTTAAAATCTCAACCAGGCTGAAGTTATTATTTACTTCACAAAACAGGACTTTTAAATCTTTAATAAAAATAGTGATAGAAGTACACACAGAATCTAAAAGGTATTTCATGTGTGTAAGTTTTCTTGAAGCTTTTCTGCTACCACTCAACCCCTTTACATCAAGGATTCCTTCCAGTGGACACATTAGGAGGACCCACTGGGTTCCGCCAAGAGATGGGAAAAAGTTGTAATTTGCCTCCAAGCTACTGCATCTTCTGAGCAATCCAGAAACACAAATCAATGGCTAGAGTGGACCCAAGGAAAGCCTCACACTAGCATTCTGGCTTACCCACAACTAGAAATAAAAATCTCAGGGTCGCTGCCCATTAGGAAATGGGTAAGTTAAAAAAAAAAAAAAAATCATTTATAGGGGCACCTGGCTGGCTCAGTCAGAAGAGCGTTGTGACTCCTGATCTCAAGGTCGTGAGTTTGAGCCCCATGTTGAATCTAGAGATTACTTAAATAAATAAAGCTTTAAAAAAAATAAATCATCCATATGTAAAACTGATGTACATCCTTTTCTAATATTAAAATACAAAGTAGGAGAATCAAGTAAAATACACTGAATGATAGTCTTACCACTGTCCTTGGGAACATAAAAGGGCTTAATATTAAAAGCAAACACTAACCCCAAAGAGAGGATCTAGATTAAAATAAATGGAATAAATTTATCTTTGAAGGAAATTAAAGTTTGAAGTAATTGAATAAAGGAAAGAACTGTTGGACACCAGAACAAATAAAAGGTTAAAGAAAATGACTAAGAAATCCTACCTTATTTGTTGTATAGCTATCCCAAATAATTAATTTTCCATCTTGGGAAGCACTGACTAGTAGCCTAGAGGAACAAACACAAAAATAATTTGACACTTAGAGGAAAAAGTAGTTTAAGTTAGTCATGCATTGCATTACTGTAGGGCAGTTCAGAAAAAAATATTATTCTAATTAAAATCTTGATACCAGGAAATATATTCCCAACTTAAAAAAATAAAATTTATTTTGCATGCCAAAAGTTTTCAATAGGACATAGATTTTAGCAAAATTTAAACACTTTGGGGCGCCTGAGTGGCTCAGTCGGTTAAGCGTCTGCCTTCAGCTCAGGTCATGTTTGGGATCGAGCCCCGCATCGGGCTCCCTGCTCAGCGGGAAGCCTGCTTCTCCCTCTCCCACTCCTCCTGCTTGTGTTCCCTCTCTCACTGTCTCTCTCTCTGTCAAATAAATAAATAAAATCTTAAAAAAAAAATTTAAACATTTTACTAAAAATGCCTCTGGTTAAAATTCAAAAAAATGATGCAACTTTTTATGGTGACAACATTCTAGTTCTTATTCAAGATTCTGGTAGTAGCTGAGTGGTTCATTATTTACTGACTTAAATTTAATGACATATAAGCCTAACAAACCATTATTTCACTCCACCTAATAATGTTAACTGAGAGCCTGTGAAGGCAAGGCAGCGTTATGGGTATGATACAGGATGTGCCTCCTGCCTTTTGAGGCCTCTACCATCTGGCAGAGAGAAGGTATTTACACACGTTTACAATAAATTAAGTAAAAAATGGTTAGAGGGGTGGTATAAAATCAATGCTATAGGAAAGTAAAAGGGGGATAAATACCTCTGCTTGTTGAGTCTTGCGAAAAAGAATGCATACTGAAAAACGGAATTCTGTAAGCTAAAGGCAGAAGTCTCTATGCTGTGAGGAGGGTATGTTCATTGACAAGAGGAGGAAAAATACAGCAAGTGTTTCAGGAATTGTGAATTTTCCAGTTGCACAGAGTGTGTGAGAAATGGGCATTACAGCTGAGAAAAGTGGACAGGGCCGGAGCAGCACAACTTTGTCTGCTGGCTAAATATGAACTCTTAACTATTAGTTACTGCACTTTTTTGTTTTGCTTTGGACATTTTCATTAGAGTATAAAATTCAAAAGATACCAAAAAAAGCTACCCTACCCAGTGAGGGGGGGAAGTCACCTTCCTAATCCCTGTCACCAAGGCACCTGGATCCCTTCCCTACAGGTAAATAACATTAGTGGACTTTATGTAGCGGCTGCCAGAAATTTTTTATGAAAGGGAAGTTAACAGTAGGATACGGGGCAGAACCTGAATTTTTTTTTTTTTTTTTTTAAGTAAGCTCCATGCCCACCTTGAACTCTCAACCCTGAGATCAAGACCTGAGCTGAGATCAAGAGTTGGACGCTTAACCAACTGAGCCACCCAGGCACCCCAAAATTAAATTCTTTAAAAATCAATTGGCGGGGAGCCTGGGTGGCTCAGTCGGTAGTTAAGTGATTGCCTTCACTCAGGTCATGATCCCAGGGTCCTGGGATCGAGCCAGGCCTTGGGCTCCCTGCTCAGTGTGGAGTCTGCTTGAGATTCTCTCTCCTCTCTCCTCCTTTCTCCTGCCCCTCTCTCTCCCCATCTCTTTAAAAAAGGGGGGGGGGCAGGTACAAACCTTGAATCATATCCCCAGTGCATAGCATAGATCTTAGCTAGGTGACCCCTCAACGTACGTCTCGTTCGCATTTGTATTCGGCCCACAGAATCCATATTTGATGTGATCTTTAGAAAACACCAAGAATGTTATTTTTTACATCTTAGACATAGCTCAGACAATAAAGTAGAAATAACAGGCATAAGACAAATTTATAGCAATTCCAGAGCCATTATATGATCAGTAAGTTGAAGAAAAAGTATGACTTAAAATGATCCTATTTGCACATCTTCCAGTGTTAAGAATAGATAAATCTCCCAACTTTAGTTAAAAAAAAAAAAGCCACAAATAAAAATCAAATAGATGATCAAAGAGTAAAACACATATAATTTTAACTGTCAATAAGAAAGCAAGCTTTAGTAAAGTATTTCCTTAATAAAAATTACCAATATTAAACTAATGAAACCTTCCTGAGTTGATGTAAGGAAAAAAAAGTATAATAGCGCATATCAAAAATAATCAGAAGTTACCTAAAAAAATACATATGAATCTATGTATTTTTAGAGTGTTTGTTTTTCCACAGGCTTCTATTTTAACAAGTATGCTTTAAAAAGCACATGTACATTATTTGACAAATTACAGATTACAGTTTTTAATAAAAATACAGATCTCACTTTTTTCAATTAAATACAATAAAAACCATATGAATGTCATTTGCAACCGTATCAAGCTCTTTCATGTGAATTACTAAAATGGAGGGAAAAAAAAGAACAATTTTACCTGAATAAGCGTTGCATCATTACATGCTTTCCTAGCATCCTAAAGAAAGAGGATTATAATACATTTAAACATGGAAATCTCTGGATAGGACTTAAAATACTATTTTCATTGAAAATGTAGACTGACAAATACACCTTTCACTGTACCACATATTCTTTATTTAAAATTCAGTGGTTACTATCTTCACAACTTTGTGCAACCACCACTAATTCCAGAACATTTACCATTAAAAAAAAAGAAAAAACAAAGAAACAAAAAAAATCCCTATACCTCCCAATTCACTCATTCCCTGGTAATCACTAGTTTACTTTCTATCTCTATAGATTTGCCCATTCTGGACATTTCCTACAAATGGAATCCTGTAATATGACCTTTTGTGTCTGGTTTCTTTCACTTAATGTAGGTTTTCAGGGCCCATCCATGTTGTAGCAAATGTCAGTACTCCATTTCTTTTTATGGCTGAGTAATTGTCTGCTGTAGGGATGGATCACACTGTTTATCCATTAACTGATGGACATTTAAGTTCTTTCCACGTTTTGGCTTTTGTGAATAATGAGGCTGTGAACATTCATGCACAAGTTGCGTATACGTGTTTTCAGTTCTCTCGTGTATATACCTAGGAGTGGTGGAGGATGTGGTAACTCTACGATTAACTCTTTAATCAAGTGTCAAATAGTTTTCTTCACAGCAGCTGCACCATTTTACATTCCCACCAGGAACGTACTATGAGCTTTCCAATTTCATCACATCTCACCCACAGTTGTCCTTTGTATTATTATTATTATTGGCCATTTTCATGGTTGTGAAGTGGTATCTCACTGTAGTTTTGATTTGCATTTTCCTAATGATTAGCGATGGGGAGCATCTTTTTCATCTATCTGTACATATGCTTACTGGCCATCTGTAGATCTTCTTTGGAGAAATGTCTATTCAAATTCTTTGCCCATTTTTAAATTGCATTACTGTTGAACTGTAAGAGCTCTTTATATATTCTGGAGACTAGATCCTTATCAGATGTATGATTTGCAAATATTTTCTCCCATTCTGTAGGCTGTCTCTTCATTTTCTTGAGTAGTGCCCTTACAGAAGTTTTTACTTCTGTTGCTTGGGTTTTCAGTGTCATATTAAACTGCTGCTGAATCCAAGCTCACAAAGATTAACAGCTTATGTTTAGTTCTAAAATTTTTATTCTTTTTTTTAAAGATTTTATTTATTTGAGAGAGAAAGAGACAGCACGAGTGGGAGGGGCAGAGAGAGAGAGAATCTCAAGCAGACTCCGCAGACTCCACCCTGAGCAAGGAGCCTGATGTGGGGCTCCATCCCAGAACCCTGAGATCATGACCCGAGCCAAAACCAGGAGTTGGATGCTTAACTGACTGTGCCACCCAGGCGCCCCTAAATTTTTACTTTTAGCATTTATATTTAGGTACTATTTTCAGTTAATTTTTATAAATGGTATGAGGTAGGAGTCCAAATTCATTCTTTTGCATGTGGATATCCAGTTGTCCAAGCACCATCTGTTGAAAAGACTGTTCTTTCCCTCTCAAATGGTCTTGTTATCCTCGTTGAAAAAAAAAAAATCAATCAGCCTTAGATACATGGGTTCATTTAGGGACTCTCAATTCTATTCCATTGTGCAAATATACTTCTGGTTTATGATTAAAAGATTTTAAATTGCATCCCCATGAGTAAAAATGAACTAGGTTGATTTAATAAGCCCATAGTATTCAGAGTTATATTTGTTACTAAGCTTCAGCCAAAAGCTTCAGAGTTCCCTTTTGGTTTGTTCTGGCATCTAGAAGTTGAGGTGATAGGAAGGGTTAGCATACTCAGGTCATTTCAGAAATATTTTTATAAATGTATAAGCACTTCTTTAAAATGCTTAGTATCTGTATACAGTGTACTTGCAATCAGAAATAAAATATTTTAGATCCAATGAGGAAAAGATAGGATACATCAGGAAAACAATTTATGTAATAGGTAACAGCGCTGAGTCACATCTATACATTAATAGCAAGGTCCTTACATGTAAGCAGGTGTTTATGTTTAAGCATTACAGGATAGCCTTTCAAAGAGACCTTAAATTTTTCCACAAGCTGAAGGGAATTATCAAAAGAAGATAATAGTGAAACAGAAATCGATAGAACAAAATAACATTTCATAAGCAACAAGAGGTTTTAAACCGGGGTTCTCAATAAATTGAGAGGATTCACATAACATGGGAAAATCAAAAGCACAGTTCTTCCTACTAGGCTTGAAACAATTTTTCCCCCTCTCAAAAATCACTCAGTCCCCCTCTTCAACTCTTTTTCCCCACTGCGCTTCGCATACTCCTGCCGCAAAGAGGAAGCACACAGTTGTTGAATAAGCACCCCAGTGGCCCAAATGGACAACTTGTCCCGTCAGCCGAGGGGAAAATGCCTGCCTCCGCCTGCGGCCAAGACTACATGGAATACACGCTCTTTTTTAGCTGCCCTTTCAACCTATTTATAACACTTACAATATTTCTATGTAAGGCTGTTCATAAGTAGTGACACAAACATGATGTGATTCTCTCATTCTTAGTCAAACGGTGGGCTGAGAGACCTCATTTGGCAAGGAATAATTCGGTCCAGTTTCCTACAATGAAAGGAATTTCCAAAAACGACAGCGATGGCCTGACCCGCATTCTAAAAACAGGGTTTTCTGATGTTAAGCTTTGTGAAAGTGAACTATCATTGTTTAGGTCATCTTTCTTGATTCAGTTATTCAATTAAAAAAAAAACACAACCCACAATCTGTGTCAGGTTCTGTTCTGGGCACAGCAGTTATCGCAGCAAACCAGAAAGGCCAGCCCTCGGAGGGCTTGTAATATTAACAGTACAATTACACTGTAAGTGAAAACTACTGAACAGTGCAAAGCGGTAAAAATTAAAACGCTAGAATATAAGCATTCTACAAATAGCAGTTACTTGCAAATCATGAAAAGATTCTATTCACATGGAGAAGAATTTACTCGTATGAACACTCATCCATTATAAAACTGAATATAAAATTATTCCCAATTAAAGGCTGAAGTCCATATTGTCCACCATAATCTAAGACATCTTTGTGCAAGAGAAAAGTGGTATTTTTCACTCCAAATAACAATTACGAAAGAAAAGTCTGTTTCCTCTACTTGTTTTTTTAATTTAAAATAATATTTTAAAATACTGTGTAAGATTCCATACATTTCTATTATGTCAGGTGTTGACACACAGTGAAGTATACAGTTAGATTATATTTTAGAAGTGAGGGGGAAAGCGAGGAAGGGTCTTTAAATATAGCATGACATGATTAAACTGAGAAATAAAGTACATGGCACCTTATATACATGTGGTTACTTGCAATCATGGGAGAGGAATGTGAGCACTTGCACCCATGCAATTTTGTTTGGGATGCTGGTGAGCTATGAAGAATGATTAGGACACAGAATTTTCCATCCAAGTACAAGTAGCAGAGGCAAATGCGCACAAGGAACCACAACACAAGGCCAGCTGTGATCAACCCTGTAACACAAATCCACAAGTGATGTATGAGTAAGGAGCTACCATTTACTGGTAAGTCCTATGCACATCATTTCACGTGATCTTCACAAACCTACATAGTGGGCACTGGTATTCTCACTTTACAGGAAAGATATCAAGAATCACAGAAGTTAAACTTGCTCATGGCCACAAAATAATGAAAAGCTGAAGCCCATGCACTTTCCACCATGCCATGCTGCCTGCCTTCCAATAAAAGGAGAATAAATCCAAGTACAGGACTCTGGTGAGGCTTTTCAGAGGACTGGGACTCAATGAAGAGGAGTCTTGGGAGAAACAGTGGAGCCACGGTAGTATAATCCTAGGCAAAGGAAACCATCTGTAAAAGGGCGATGAAGGGCGATGACCTAAACAACGCACGATCAGGAAACAGCCACCAGACTACAACACAGGCTGCAGGGCTGGGAGGGCACGGGATATGGTGTCAAAATATACCTGGCCGGAGGGGCGCCTGGGTGGCTCAGTCAGGTGAGCATCTGCCTTTGGCTCAGGCCAAGATCTCAGGGTCCTGGGATCGAGCCCTGAGTCCAGCTCCCTGCTTGGTGGGTCTGCTTCTCCCTCTCCCTCTGCCTCTCCCCATAGCTTGTGTGCACACACATGCTCTCTCTCTCTCACATAAATAAATAAAATAAAATCTTTAAAATATATATATGCAGGGCGCCTGGGTGGCTCAGTTGGTTAAGCGACTGCCTTCGGCTCAGGTCATGATCCTGGAGTCCCGGGATCGAGTCCCACATCGGGCTCCCTGCTCGGCAGGGAGTCTGCTTCTCCCTCTGACCCTCTTCCCTCTCGTGCTCTCTGTCTCTCATTCTCTCTCTCTCAAATAAATAAATAAAAATAAAAAGATAAAAAATAAAAATATTTAAAATATATATATACATATACCTGGCCTGAATCCTGGAGCTACCACTTTGTAGTTACGTTACCTTGTCAAGTTATTTCATCTAAGGATCAGTTTCCTCATCTGTGAAACAAAGCAACACCATCTACCTCACAGGGTTGCTCAAAGGATTAATGAGATTAGCATGGGACCTTGTGTTTGGCCAATCATTCCAGGCAAGGACACCACAAGGAAATTACAGACCAGTATCCCTGATGAACACAGATGTAAAAATCCTCAACAAGCTGGCAGCAAAACAAATTCAATGATACATTAAAACAATCACACCAGAGGGGTGCCTGGGTGGCTCAGTCGGTTAAGCGGCTGCCTTCAGCTCGGGTCATGATCCTGGGGTCCTGGGATGGAGTCCCGCCATCGGGCTCCCTGCTCAGCGGGGAGTCTGCTTCTCCCTCTCTGCCTGCCTCTCTGCTTACTTGTGTTCTCTCTCTACCTGTCAAATAAATAAAATAAAATCTTTAAAAAAAAAAAAAAAAACAATCACACCAGAATCAAGTGAGACTTATTTCAGGGATGCAAGGATGGCTCAACATCACAAATCAATGATACAGGACATTAACAAAATGAAAAATAAAAACTGTATGCTCATCTCAAAAGATGCAGAAAGGCATGTGACAAAATTCAACATCCATTTATGAGAAAAACTCTCAAAAAAGTGGGTATAGAGAAAGTGTACCTCAACATAATAAAGGTCCTATATGACAAGCCCACAGCTAACATCACACTCAACAATGAAAAGCTGAAAGCTTATCCTCTAACATTAGGAACAAGACAAGGATGCCCACTCTCCCCACTTTAATTCAACATGTTACTGGAAGTCCTCACCAGAGCAATTAGGCAAGAAAAAGAATAAAGGCATCCAAATTGGAAAGAAAGAAATAAAGCTATTAGCTGGTGACATATTATATACAGGAAATCCTAAAGACTCCACAAAGAAAACCATTAGAAATAAATTCAGTAAACCTGCAAGATATCCAAAATACATACAAGATACACAAAAATCTATCATTTCTATACACTAAAAACTATCAGAAAGAAATCAAGGAAACAATCCTATTTACAAGTGCATCAAAAAGAATAAAACATCTAGGGATAAATTTAACCAAGGAGGTGAAAGACCTGTATACTGAAAACTATTAAGACACAGATGAAAGAAACTGAAGACACAAATCAATAGAAAGCTATTCTATGCTCATGGATTGGAAGAATACTGTTAAAATGTCCATACTACCCAAAGCAAGCTACAGATGCAATGCAATCCCTATCAAAATTCAAATGGCATTTTTCACAAAAATACAATTTTACATCCTAAAATCTGTATGAAACTGCAAAAGATCCTGAGTAGCCAAAGAAATTTTGAGACAAAAGAACAAAACGGGAGGCGTCATGCTCTCCGATCTCAAACTCCATTACAAAGTCACAGTAATCAAACAGTATGGTATTAGCATAAAAATGGACATATGGATCAATGGAACAGAGAGCCCAGAAACACACCTATGCACGTATGGTCAATTAACTTGGGACAACAGGGGAAAGACTCTAATAAATGGTGTTGGGAGAACTGGACAGCCACAAGCAAAAGAATGAAACTGTACCACTATCTTACACCATACACAAAAATAAACTCAAGATGGACTAAACACTTGAATTTTAACATCTGAAACCATAACACTCCTAGAAGAAAACATAGGTGGTACCTCCACATGCACAGGAATATTATTCAGCCATAAAAAGAAAATGAGATCTTGCCATTTCCAACAACATGGGTGGATCCTGTGAGCATTAAGTGAAAAAAGTCAAACACCATATGATCTCATTTATATGCAATCCAAAAAAAATAAATATCCAAGTTTATATATACAGAGAACACTTTTTAAATGACACGGTCATGTGACCATGTGCTCAGCCAGTCAGTCCGTCCTGTTCAGCTTCTGGGGCAAGTGACACAAAGCAGAGGTGGCAGAGAATCCATTCTGGTGTTGGCAACAACATCTACTTCAGAGATTATTCTGTGAAGCCTTCCCTCATCATCCCAGGCAAAATAAATCCCTCCTTTGTTTTGACAGCTTTGTCAGACACCTAAACTACCAAACTCAAGAGTTCTTATTCACATCTAAATCATCCACTTCCTTGAATTCCTGGCAGTGAGATTTGGTTAGGATTTCAAGCCAATCAGATTCAACGTTTTCTTGGTGAGTGCTCTTCAGCCATCCTTTGTTCTTTCCGCTCCTTTCCTCTCTTTTCTTGTAATTTCCTTGTAGAGATCCTGTGCTCAATCCTTTCTTCTCATTCTTCACTCATCAAATCAGAGGAGTTCTTCTGAAACAGTTCTTGCAGAAGGTTCATGGGTGGGGCTGAGGGGGGAGCCGGCAGTGTTCCGAGCCATTAGGGATTCTTCTGGCTTTGTGCTCAAGTTCTTCATGTGTATCCCTTACTGTTTCACAACCCTTGCTTTTTCTGCAGTAAGTAGGCAGAGCCAGGCTACAATTCAGTCTCTTTCCTCTACCCTGCTCACCAAGAGGCTTCCTAAACATGAAGGGATAAAGACATGCCATCTTTTAGCTCTATCTTCCTTGATAATCCCCTGTTCATCTGTTTCCACTGTTCCAGAGGATTACTGCTGTTTTTGCTGAGGGAGTACTACCCACTTTGCAGAAACCCTCCCTCTGAGCCTTCCCACACCCTGATGCATCACTGTTTGATTCTTAAAGTGAAGTTCTAAATGTCTTTTAATTTTGTTGTCAGACGGAACTTGTTATTTAAGTTCTTTGCTGTTTTGAGTTGATTTCCAACAGTAAAAGAGGACACATTATTATGCCACTAATAATTTTTAATGTTTTTCTGCAATCTAATATTTTAGAGATTCAGATTTTTCTAGTGTATTACAATGTGATAACATCTGCCTCATCATATTGCACCAAAAACCAAACTACGATTCCAGGTGTGTGACTAAGAGAATTATGTTTGTCTTGCAGCAGGAATTACATATAGAATATTAACTTCTTAGGGACACAGAGGTCATTAAGTCCACACAGATATTTGTCAGGAATGATTTTTAGAGAGTACTTTAGAGGTATGATAAAAACAAATTGACCACTTCAAGACTGATACATTTAATATATGTAGACTGATCCAAAAATGAACACATCTTATTCATTGCTGGTACTAAATAAAAATGTTAAAATTCCAAAATGAGAAACTTTGTTCTTACCTGGATCTGATTCCGAAGCTGTTCAGCTTCCTGCCTCAACTGCTCCAGTTCACTCATCCTTTCACTTGTTTGCCTCAGAAATTAGCAAGTGAAAGCAACTGTCAAAAAAAACCAAACACCAGAGCGAGCTGGATTCAGTTCTCCATTTACATATTAATCTACTTTCTAAACTACTGACATATAACTTCTTTTTGATCCTTCTGAAACTCAAGTGAGCTAGCAATTCCAAGTTCCAGAAACAACCGACTTAGTAAATATAGATCTAGGTTACTCACTAACAGGGTCTGATGGAGAAGGTGATCAGAGGATGGAAGAGAAATCCTGAGTTGTAATATTCAAGACTAAATTACAGACCGTTAGTACTAGAATACAGCCCAGTGGGAAATACTTGACAAAACTGCAGAGAGCAGCCATATCTATTTATCCCCATTTAGATGTCTAATGGGCACCACAGAGTTCACACGTCAAAACTGAACCCCACTCCACCCCCAGATCTTCCCTGTCTCAGTAAATGGAAATTCAGTCCTGTCAACCCTTTAAGCTGAACACCTGGGAGTCATCCTTATTTCTTTCACACCCTACATGTAATCCATCAGCAAAGCCTGCCAGTTCTTCCTTCCGAAAAATATCTAGGATCTGACCAACCCCGATAATCCCACCCTGCCTACCTTGGTCTAAGCCACCACCATCTCTCACCTGGTCTCCTTTCTACTGCCCTCCACCACGCCCCAGTCTATCCTAAATATGGCAACTGAGTCATCCGTTGTTAAAACACCAGTCTTTTTTTTTTTTTTTAAGATTTTATTTATTTGACAGAGAGAGACACAGCGAGAGAGGGAACACAAGCAGGGGGAGTGGGAGAGGGAGAAGCAGGCTTCCCGCTGAGCAGGGAGCCCAATGTGGGGCTCGATCCCAGGACCCTGGGATCATGACCTGACCAAAGGCAGACGCTTAATGACTGAGCCACCCAGGCGCCCCAAAACACCAGTTTTTCTTCTCCTTTAAATCCTACAAGGTTTTCCACTCCCAATCAGAGGAAAACCTAACTCTACCTTGACCTACGGAGCCTTACCCAATCTCTTACACATAACCCTCTGACCTTGTCGATCACACTGTCCATCTCACTCTGCTCCACCCACTCCAAAGACTTCTTGATGTCCTTTGAACACACTAAGTAGGGTCTAGTCTCAATGTCTTTATACTTGCTCTTCCCTCCGCCTGAAATGCTCTTACCCCTGATATTTTCATTGCTTGCTGACTTGTTCAAATGCTACCTCCTCAGAGGGACCTTTGCTGATAGCCCATATGCACCTGCCTTACCCTGTAAGGCCACTTGATGACTCAACACCATCTAGCATGTATTTGCTTATTTGTTGTTTGTTTCCTCCTGGTAGAATGTAAGCTCCTTGACTGGGACTTTGTTTGCTTTTGTTTTTTTGCTACATCCCTAGCGTCTAAGACACTTCTCCAGTAAATAAACTAACCTGAAATAGCTTAATAAATAAAGTAAAAAAAAATTTTAAAGGATTTAGGATGAATCACAGAACCCAAAGGCAGGAATAGTACAACCTCAGGAAGAAACTGAAGCTGAAAACTGATAGTATTCTTTCTCTACCTGTCCCGTTTTTCTCTTCCTATTTGTTTTTCTTCTTTACAAAATAACCTTTTCTGCTTCTCCAAGCACAAGACCCAGTTTGTATTTACTCAGGTCAAAATTAGAGACCCAAATGACCACCCCATCTCCAAATTCCCATGAGAGAGACTCTGATTCCCATAAGGGAAAATCTGGGGGCGCCTGGGTGGCTCAGTCGTTAAATGTCTGCCTTCTGCTCGGGTCATGATCCCAGGGTCTTGGGATCGACCCCTGCATCGGGCTCCCTGCTCTGCGGGAAGTCGGCTTCTCCCTCTCCCACTCCCCCTGCTCATGTTCCCTCTCTTGCTGTCTATCAAAAAATAAATAAAATCTTTAGAAAAAAAGAAAATCTGTTTCTGGTGTCATCCTGCATTCACTTCAACCTGTAGTACAAGTATCTGTTTATTAGGGTTAACTTTATTTTGTCAAATTAACAAGTTAATCTATTAGGATTGCTTGGAATAGCATTTTTTAAACTGTAAGTAAGAACTGACACCCTTCTAATATTCCATGTCCAATTTACTACTATAATATAGCTCTCCGTTTATCTAAATTTCCAGCAAATTTTTGATCATTGTAAGGCTTAACCATTTCTTGATGAAGTTCTGTTTAACAATTTAGTATGTTCCTCAGAGAGTACCAGGCTGGTTAGATTACAGCCAATCTGGAAGATCATTCTGCCTAACTGAAGATAAATGGCATTCAGGTTCTCTACATTCACAACCTTAATTACCCTTGCTGGACCATACTGAGGTCCAGCCTAATCCTAAAAACTGGTTCTGATGCTTCTTTATTTTCTGAGTTCCAAAAAAATCCTGGGCATGCAAAGCTGATGTAAAGCTCTTACTGAGTTGCTAATGTACCTAATAAGGAGTATTAAGGGGCCATCACAGGTCTCATCAGTTCCAGGGTGTTCAAAACCACCACTTACTCATCCACTACTGCCTTCCCACCCCAACAGCCACCCACATACAACTGACTAAAGTGGAGCTTATCTGCAACGGTAAGCAGAAAGAGTTAGGGGTCCCCGAAGAAAGGCCAATAGACCTAGCTTTCTTGAGAAGTCATTTCGGGCCCCCAGACATCTTGGGAAAGAATGGGAGAACAAACAGCCACTATCAGGCCAGGAGACTGACCTGACCCACACTCTTGAGTTATCTCTGCAGGATCTAAATCCCTCTGAGCACTCAGATACCAGTCCCACCCAAGCCACAGAATTGATGATCTGGCCTCTGCTTTTGCAGCTCCCTGGGCTTTGACCTGGACTCTGTCACCTTAGGACGAGTTCTGCCCCACCGCCCAAGGCCTTTCATGACTGAGCTTCAAAGGTCCCCGACTTTGTCCTTCCGGGAGACACTGCTTTCCGGTGGGGGGGTACCCACGGTTCTCCTTTACTTACTGCAAGTAAAACCCTTCCTTTTCCTTTTCTTTGGCTTGGTTGTGTCTTTTGGCTCAACTCTCACCAAGAGGCAAATTCAGTTTCAGGTAACACGGCTAGCAAGAGCTACTCAGGATATACTAAGATCTGTACCAAATGGACATTTTTCAGCATGGGTGCTGAAACGGATGGAGTACCATGAACAGAAACGGCACACAGAAAGCAGTTCCCTCACCACCACCACTGGATGGGTTACTTTTGGGAGAGGCCATGGGTCCTGAACACCCCTATACACTTTTCCTGGGCCTGCCAAAATATAAGGCCCTCATCACGCTCACCTGGGCCGTTTCTCAGGGTTGTATTTGGAGCAAGCAAATGGCAATGTCTCCCCGCCAAGACAGAGCAAAGCTTGCTTCCACTTACTATAAAAGTGGTACATTCCCCAAGCTGTTTCTGGGCTGTGACACAAATCCAATGTATGTGTGGCATCTATCTAGGCCCACCTGTGTTAACCCCATAGGAATTGAGGAACATGGGGGAATGAACAAACCAACACCAGGATAGGCTATTTGCTGGGCTGACCAAGGAGTCTCACGTCATCTGCTAGCGTCCATGAAACAGTAACAGGCTAATTTACTAGCTAGTAAGTAATTAAAATCCCAGACACTTTGAAGTCCTTGAAGGAGAAGGTTCATAAGAGAGATGAGGAGTTCAATGTGAAATATCATGAGTTTGTGGTACCTCTCCTCTTTTTTATGGAGATATAATAACCTATAACATTGTGTAAGTTATTGTATAAGTTTTAGTTATAGGATGTGATTTGGAAATTTATATATTGCAATATGATTACCAAAGAGTTAACTATCCCATCACACAATTACCATCTCTTCTTGGTAGAGAGAACATTTAAGATCTAGTCTTTTAGCAACTTAGAGGCACACACTACAGTGTGCTTGACTATAAGCACTACAAGGTGCAGATCTCTAGAATTCATTCATCCTCTAGCTGCAAGCTGCACCTCCCTTCTTAAACAGGTTAGATTCCAGGTCCAGCACTTCACCCACAATTTTGCCAGCACCCTAGTTTCCCAGCCCTTTTATGTTGTCACACTCAACAAACAAAAGCCACAACCTTGTATGAATCCAACTACCTACCTTTTGGCCAAGTACTCAAGTGACCAAACACTGATCAAAAAAGTCAAACAGGGCATATTAGTTATACTACAAATTCATTTCACCCATCTCAACTGAGCCCTCAAAACCACCCGGCAACCCTACACAGCTTTTTACTCATCACTTCCACTCTTACTATCAACTGTCAGTTCTTTGAACTCTTAAGTTTCTGACCTTCCACAACCCCTCTTACAGATGACCTTGCCTTCTACACCACAGAGAAAGCAGAAGCCATCAGATAGGAACTCTTTCAATTTTCTACCACTATATATAAAACTATACAAACATAACCGACTCATCACATTCTCCTTTCCCTCTATTCAAAACAGAGGAAGTGACTTTTCTGTCATTTGGTCCAATTCCTCCACTTACGATTTAAATCCCATCTACCGCCTTTTCAGTAATCTTACACTTCTAATTATCTCTTCTAGAACATTCAAGCTCTCATTTTTCCTTCGTTGTTTTAGTCTTTTAGGAAAAATTTCAAACAGAAATGTAGAGAAATCAGTATAATGGACACCCATAATATCCACCATGTGATTTACAAATTGTTATTGTTGTATTTGCTTGTTTTTGCTCAAGTATTTTTTTTTTAAAAGATTTTATTTGAGAGAGTACGAGCACGAGCAGGGGGGAGGGGCAGAGGAGAGAGGGAGAAGCAGGGAGCCCAACAATCCAGGGCTCCATCCCAGGACCCTGAGATCCTGACCTGAAGGCAGACGCTTAACCGTCTGAGCCACCCAGGAGCCCCCATTTGCTTAAGTATTTTATTTTATTTTATTTAAGATTTTATTTATTTGACAGAGACACAGTGAGAGAGGGAACATAAACAGGGGGATTGGGAGAAGGAGAAGCAGGCTTCCCGCAGAGCAGGGAGCCTGATGTGGGGCTCTATCTCAGGAGCCTGGGACCATG